GGGGGGGGGGGGGGGTCAGGAGGGACATGATTCATTACTTACAATAGACTCATCTTTAACACCGTTGGCCTTGCCCCAAGCGGCCATTACCCACGCATCGTTGCTGGCAATGAAGATAATTTGGTCGACGCCCTTGGACTTGAACTCCTCGAGCTTGGCCAGATACGAGGGGACGTGCTGCTGCTGGCAGGTGGGGGTGAAGGCACCGGGGACGGCGACGAGGACGACCTTCTTGTTCGCGAACTCTACGTCGTAGGTAAGAGATTGCGTTAGTATATTGATGTGGAGAAAAAAACAAGTCAAAGATGATGTGAGGGTTCCTTGTGAGTGAGCCATGACATGTTTACTTGCCTTTGCTGGCATCATACTGGATGGGAAGACCGCAGACGGTAAGGTCTGTGTCACCGCTGGGCGCGACGTAGGTGAAAGTAACACCTTCGGGGAAAGAGTCACCGGCCTTAAGAGCAGACATTTTGTTGAAAAGGGGTTTTTAGATTGTGAAGTTCGTGAGATTTGAGCTTGCTGTCCTTGAGAAGAGAAAAGTGCGAGATTCTTTTGGTTGGATTCGAAGCTTGAGGTGAGCTTATAAGCGGAGGAAGCCGATGTATTGTTATCAGATCGTATCTCCAATCACAGCGGGGTCCTGCTCGCTTTTGGAGGGGTTCTCCGTTCTCCGGAGGTTCGGCGGGAGGGCGGGCAGGAACCGTTGCGAAGCCTCCAGTAACATCAACCGGAAGGCATCGAACAGTGGAGACCGATCAGTTGCCCTGGAAAGGGTGGCCGTTAAGGTGCCCTTTCTCAGTCAGCGTCAATAACTTCCAGGGTTTGCGATTTCTATCCATTGTCACGTTGGAGTGGGACAGACCTCGGGGGGCCCGGGGATTGTTGCCTTGGATTGCGCGATCGCCGGGCTTCATTGCATGTGCCAAAATCAGAACTGAAGCGACCGGATGGCCTCTTGTCCTTATTCTCTTTTCCAAGTTCCAGAAACTCGCAATTTGCATTTGGCCGACAACACAACAATTCCAGGTTCTCCTCGAGATCTCTACCTCCGACAACGGCCTTTCCCTTTCCACTCCTCTTTCCTTTTGCGCCGTAATTGAGAGAGGGGGAAAACTGAAAAGGCGAGTATGACCTGGATATTGCCCGGACTTCAGGCAAGTGAGGGACCTTGATGTCTCTACAACCCGTCATTGTAGAAACACTCCTCCCGGATCTTCAGGCCACGAACGCTGGTGGTCCTATTATTGGAGATAGTCATAGGTACATTTTCTACCTGTCGCTCAAACTATATCCCTTGAACTACATCTTCTCGTTTGTTACTATATTAAGAGCTTGCCTCAAAGAGGTGTCTGGCACGGAGCTGTAGCGGCTCGCTTCGGAACCCCACCAGCTCGGATCGTTCTATGACTACTGTCTGCCGTCAGCACGTACGACACGGAATTCATGATCACTGGACTACGATGACCTTTGATTTGCATTAAAGCCAGGTGTTTACATGGTTTTCTTGTCTAATCACCTTGCAATTTTCTTGAAATATCCGAGAGAAAATTGCGGGACGTTCACCCTCTTGTTCTATGATCATTCGAGTTCCGCTGTTACCTCTGTTTTGATAACACCTTCCCTATTCTTCAGCCATCGCCATGACAGCTGAGTCAAAGCCCCCATTTCCGCCGTTCACGGCCGAGACAGCTCGGATCAAAGTCAAGGCCGCGCAGGATGCATGGAACACGAAGTGACTATATCTTCGCTATTTTCTTGAAAATCCGATTGCCGTTGGCTGACTTTGGTCGAATTCAAGAAATGCGGAGGTGGTCCAGATGGCCTACACTCCAGACTCCATCTGGAGAAACCGCGATACGTTCTTGCAAGGACGCCCAGAAATTGTCGAGTTTCTGAAGAAAAAGTGGTCAAGAGAGAACGGATATCGCTTGAGGAAGGAGCTGTTTGCTTTTACCGACAACAAAGTCAGTCGTTATTCCTTCCTGGTGGCGGCGGCAGGTCACAAGTAGGATTGCTGCCCAGAGCTAACTGCCATGTCTACTGAAATCAGATCGCAGTTCAGTTTTGGTACGAGTGGTATGACGAATCTGGTCAGTGGTGGCGGACATATGGCCTTGAGGACTGGACCTTTGCCGACGATGGCCTCATGCGGAAACGGCAGATGAGTGGGAATGATGTGAAGATTGCAGAAGAAGAGCGATGGTTCAAGGAGGGTGTCGATGTCAACGAAGTTGCAATTACTGAGCAACACTGGTGATTGACTTCCATGGCGAGAAGCTGCAAGGTACGGTCTACAAGTTTGGCATTAGGCAAGTCCTGGTCCGGGTTTTGGTGGGAAGGCACATAGACCAAAGCTTTCTATGTATGACCGAGCAGATGCAAGAACTTAGGGCAGGTTCCTATCTACCGTTCCCTACGACACCGAAAACCTGAGCCGGGTGGTGGGATCATCCTACGAAAGTGTCAGTTGGGTAGCCAACGTTATCGACATCCTCTTCCGTCCGAACAATTTCAGCGAGACTAACCCACAATCTCCTGGGTTTCAACCCCGCTGTTCTTGATGTAGTCCAATTCTACTTGCTCCCATCGAAAAAGGTAGCTACATTGGGAACCAACAACCGGTCAGGAACACTTGACCAGGGGTTTACAATCATTTCGATATGCCGAAGAACGGAAATTCACAGCTCAAGCCCAGCCCTAGGTCGGTACACTCTCGATTCAGCGCGGCGTCTTTCTGCAACTTGACTGACTCGAACAGTATTTGGGATATAGCTCCTCCGGGCGTGAGTTTGGAACTGGCGGAATGGTCAGCCGATCATTTTCAGCGACGCGGTCGGCCTCTGAGAGTCGCTATCGATGCACATTGCTGGCAAGTTTACTTTGAGAATGATTGCAAAGTCGACTGGCTGCGCAAAAGTTTGTTACCATGGGCGTCCATAACTAGACTTTGGCAATGCAAAATGCTGACATTTAATTCCACCAGACTCTCGCGAGGTCAATGCGGTCGAGAAAACGATCATGTACCAGATTATGACCTTGCTGGAGCTGAGCATACACCTTCTCTTCGTCTTTGATGGCCCAGATCGCTACAATCAATACGAGCCTGATCCAAACCCAATCAAGCCGGAAAGGATACGTTTGCTCAAAGACATGTTAAACTATCTAGGCGTCCCTTTCCATCAGGCACCTGCGGAAGCAGCACCCACATGTGTCAAACTCCAACATCTAGATGTCGTCGATGCCGTTTGGACGCAACACAGCGTAGCTCTCACATGTGGATGCCGAGAGATCGTCATGATCAAAGAGCAGCACCGACACTGGAAGGGCGCAGGGTTAAGTAACGAGTCCGCTACCAAGCACGATGCTCTGGCTTTGCTGCAACAGTGGGATCTCGACCAGCCAAGTCTCATACTAGGGCTCCTGCTCGGAGGATGCGAATATTCAAGAGGCCTTCCGGGAGTCAATCATGAGGCTGCCCTCGAAATTGCCCAGAACGCCAAGCAGCTGGCTGGGACAATGTGTGATGTCTTCAGTGACGATGAGAACAGATTGGAGAGGAACAAATGGTTAGTCACATTTCAGTTCGAGAACTCAGGAAGCCGACAACGCTGACCTCTGAAAGGCAAGCACGTTTCCGGGCCTTTCTTAAGGACAACGGCTATCATTCCGTGGTCATTCCAAATTGCTTCCCCGATCCGAAGGCAATTGAGCGCTACCGGAGTCCACCTGTGCGTTCAGAAGAAGCGTTGCAAAATCTGCTCTGCCTCCGACATGGATGGACACGGTCGTTGTCACATAATCTCGCTGACATCTGCCAATTTCTTAACCGGAACTTTCAGTCTTACCCCTCCGTCAAATGGCCTATACGACACCTAACAGGGCTCGAACTGAACCACAAACTGCTCCAAGGTACATTGAGGAACGCTTCTCAAGGATGTGAGGGCATCAAAATTCCCGCTGCACCAGGGAACAGCATTTGCTGTAACGTCACCGTGTCAGCAACGATATTTCTTCCAGAATTGACCAAGATCTACGATATGTGGTCAACCCACGAAGTCAAATGTAGAGTTTTGTCCTGTGTTGTTCAGAAAGGACTACACCCTGAACGGTTACCACGTCCCAAGCTTCAAAACAAGGGTCTGGTAAAACACAAGAGGAAGACCGCTGAGCCTGGCCCAGAAGACACCATAGAGCAGAGTAAGAAGTCCAAAATACAAGGTGCTGATACACCAGTCGGGGCAATCACACAGCTGGCTCCAAGTACCGAAAAAAGCGTCAAAACACAAAGCGAGATGGTTTCTTCATCGCCATGGCAATTTCGCATCCCGCCCTTACCGCATGGTTTAGGGTTTTCTCAACCACGGCAGTCTCCAGTCGAAGCTCCATGTTCGCCGAGTCTGGAAGTCTACGACCTGTTATCACAAGACTGATCGGAGTGGGGTTATCGAACCGCACAAAAGACAGTGAGATTTCTATAGTTCGAGCTCCAATTCTGAACTCGATCGGGGAAATAGCAGCGCAGAACAGAAGGAACATTCTTACAAAGTCTCGTACTTATGCGCCAACTCAGCAGAAGATGAAAGTTTGGATAACTGACTTGCCTAGAGATCACGAGCTCACCCCGTTTGAGACTGACAAACTGAACGAGCAGAATGACTCGGAACACAACTTTACGATTCATTTACCAGCAACCAGGTAACTGGGACGGCGCTTGGACCTTCTGACCCTAAAAGAGTGGGGATCTGGCCTCTGTTCGAAAATGTGGCGAGCCTGTTTTGATAACGATCACCAAACATAGTCCCTGCTTGGGAGTTGTGGTTCTGTCAAGGGTGCGTTTACCAAGGGCGGCTCGGACCGTCCCGCTGGGGAAGACAGGGGCTTGGAGCTTTCATTCGGGTAGTCGGGCTCACCTGGTACGCAGGTTGCAGCATCACGGGCGATGATTACTCGAAGCTTTCAAATATTTATCAGGAAGAGAAAAAGATTTCTGAAAAATGTTACCCTGTAACAAGGGGCTTGCGGAAATTTAGATGTTTTGGATGTTTTTTGATGATTCTGCGGGTAGTAGGCGGTCGCGGCGAGGTGTCAGAGCAGAGTGTTGAGGACACTCTAACTTCAGAATGTGCATCATATGTAGGCATATAAGCCTCTGGTAGATGATGACCAGTCGGCTGAGGAGCTTTCAGTACGATGCATTTTTGGGAGGACAGTCATATTACGCCTCTGTATCTTCCAGGTAAAGCGTTTGGTGTCAAGCATGTGAGCTTGTCAAGATAGGACGTGGAAATGTGTTGTATAAACAACAAAACCATCTAACCCACCGAGAAAAGCAGATTATCAGTAAATGACAGTAAAAGCACGAATACCTTTTTGTGAAACTACATAAGCTTCTGATCTCATAAACGGCCAATAAACTGCTTACACAAAGTCAGTTGACTGAGATAAGGCCAACGCCAAAAAGGCTTGCTGTACTGGGTTGTTTCGGGTAGGTAAGTATGTGATAGTGGTAAAGTGCTCGTTCGTAATCCAAGAAAACAAACCCTGGTTTTACCCCAAAACCGAACCTCAAAACCTCATCTCCAGTTTTCCAGCTATACCACCTCCCCCCCAAAATAATAAAAAAAGATGAAAGACCGAACAGTTGAGTTGCATAGGTACCCTTGTCGAACGAACAGCACTGTCCCAGCTGCCATTGACTTTACAAAAATACTACGCATTTTGATCATTAGGTATACCATTTTGATTGAACCACTGGACCACTCAGTCCGCCCCGTTGTGGCATAGGAGCTACGTAATGGACCTTAATGTGCCCGCCGGTGCCTGGGCCGCCAGGTCCTATCTGGGGCAGTGCAGCCCGGGTGGGGTTCATTGTCATCTGGTGTTTGGGAAGAAGAGTGCCGGCCGGGCGGCGGCGGCGGCGGCAGGAACAATAGCAGGGACGGTGGTTTTGTTATGATTAGGTTCGAGTGACCAGAAAGAAGTAAAACCAGCTGAGAGCGGCTTGGCGATGGGAGGAATCTCAAGCGGTCTCCATGAGTTACTCTGGGGAAAATTCGGGCTTCCGTTTCACCCTATCTATTGATGTACCTTGTCCTAGTTTCCCCTCTAAAACAGAAGAATTGTATAGAATAAACCAATAAGTGAGAGAGTCTCCTATTGAAACGATTGGTGCGGCGAAGATAAACAGGCGGGAGAGCTGAAAGAAAGAAGGGATGTGAGATCACCAACGAGATCAAGCGGTTGGATACGATTGATTGAGTGTGTGCTATCGAGAAGAGGAGAGAGAGGGAGACTGGCGGAGTCTGGAAGGCTAGATGTAGTGCGGTCTGAGCAGGGCACAGAGTGGGGACTAGGCTGTGCCCAGTAAATACCAGAGACCCACCAACACACCCCCATAGATTGGAAGACTGCTAAAGCAGTATCTAAACCTCTATACTATACTATTTACATTGTAATATCTTTTATAGTATTATTAATCCTTCTTTATCAAGCTTAAAGAACCTTCTTCTAAACTATACCAATCAATTTAACGAATCTCGTATACTTATCTAGTTTTAATAGCTTTATTAGACCGTTAGCTAGCATTTCGTCACCCGGCAAGTATTCGATTGTAAATATTTTCCTATTTATCTTTTAAATCTATTATTTATATTGTATATTAATATAACGATTTCTAGCTAGTAAGTTTAGGTTGAGAATCTAGTCTCTAGCGTTATTATTGTCCGTATAAAGAATTTTGTTGATCTTTCGAAATCCTAAATTTACATTCAAATTATTAAATATACCGCTAACCTAATCGAGAGCCTTAGCTATAGGCACTAAATTAGTAAACTCTATTTCTATTGTACTAGTTGTAACGAGATTTTATCGCTTAGACTTCTAAAGGACGGGGCTATAAATAAAGAATAAAATATAGCTAACTATATTCTTCCTTAAAGAGATATCGTCGGTAAAGGATGTGTCTATATATATGTAGAAGGATAGGGCTATTAACAGCGAGAGTATACCGCCCAATTCAATACTTAAATCAGGGTACTCGGATAAATATTATTATAAATACTTTATAATAACGAGGTATCGGTCGATTAGCTTCTTAATACCCTTTAATATCTTATTAATAGTAAAGGAAATATTTGGCCGGGTACTTATTAAAATTTAATTTAATAAACTAATCTTCTTAGGGTAAAACTTAACTTTATTTAGTAATATATTATTACCCCTATAAATCTTATAATCCGGTGGCTATAGTATTTTAACATTATAGAACTTAATTTTACTATTATTGAATTCAACGATAACCAACTTAGTAAATTATTATTAGAATATAAAGATTGTACGAATTTAGCGGTCCCTTATAATATTATAACTTAAAAATATACGTACTTACCTTAACTCTTTAAATTTAAAGTAATTAGCTAATTAAT